GCTTCCACTGCTGCTGCTGTCAATGCTTGCACTCTTGCTGCTGGTGCTGCTAGCGTTGCTGCTGGTGCGTCTACTGCTGCAATCAGTACTTCTGCTACTACAAGCTGTGTCTGCTGTGCAGCAGCAGCAAGAGCCACAGCAGCAGCAGCAGCAGCAGCAGCAGCAGCAGCAAAAGTCATTGCAGCAGTAGCACGCGCAGGACGGAGTTTAGAAAGCAGCGGTAACAGCTGCTGTTGCAGCATTGCTGCTGCTGCTGCTGCTGCAGCATTGCTGCTGCTGCTGCTGCTGCAGCGGATACAGCTGCTGGTGCAGCAGCGAATACGGCTGCTGCTGCGACGCTAGGCGCTGCTGCGGTTGCTGCTGCTGCAGCAGAAGTGGTTAAGTGCGCTGCAGCAAATGCAATTATGACATAGACGCAGCAGCAGCAAACCGGGCGGCAGCAGCAGCAGCTGCGGCTGCTACTGTAAGAGCATAGCATGCATTAATTGGCAGCAGCAGCTGCTGCCGCTGCTGCTGCCCTTCCCACAACTCGCTGCGCTAGCTGCTGGCGCAGCAGCAGCAGCAGCTAAAATTGCTGCTGCCGGTGCTCCAGCTGCTGCTGCGTCTGCAGCAGCAGCAGCTGCTGTTGCTGCAGCTTCCAGTACTGGCAGCATCTGAACAGCAGCGGGCAAATGCTGCAACATCAACTAGACAGGCAGAAACAGCAGCAGCAGCTCGAGCTGCTGCTGCTGCTGTTGCTGCTGCTGCAACACAGCCTACTGCACCAGCCTGTCGATGGCTGCGTTGATGTTGCCGTTTGCTGCCTCCAAGGCCCTAAGAGCAGCAGCAGAAGCAGCAGCAGCAGCAGTCCCAATGGGTGCAGCAGCAGCAGCAGCAGCAGCAGCAGCCTAATGAGCGCAGCAGCAGCAGCAGGGGAGGCTTGCCAGCAGCAACTGCAGCCCTACCAACAGTACCAGCAGCAGCAGCCCTGGCAACAGCAGCACCAGCAGCAACAGCAGCAGCAGCAGCCCTTGCAGCAGCAGCAGCACTTACGCAATATTTCTGTCTCTGTCTGTAAAGCCCATGGCCTCTAGCTGCTGCATCTGAAACTGGAAGCGTTGCTGCGGGCTTTGCTGCTGCTGCTGCTGCGGCTGCTGCAGCATGGCTGCGATTGCCGCTGCTGCTTGCGATGCTGCTGGAGAGACTGCGGCTTGGGGCGCTGCTGCTGCTGCTGCAGGTGCAGCAGCAGCAGCAGCTGGAGGAGAAACAGCAGCAATAAAAGCCTCCAACTCGTTCAGCTTCTGCTGCAGCTGCTGCTGCACTTGTGCTTCGTCTTGTGTGTCATACAGGGTGAAGACAAAGCACTCCTCGTCATCATTTGCTGCTGCTGCTGCTGCTGCTGCTGCTGGCGCTGCTGCTGCCGCCGCGCCTTCCGGCGCTGCTGCTGTTGCTCCTGCTGCTGCTGCTGCTGTCCCTGCTGCTGCTGCTGCTGCTGCTGCTGTGGGCTGGAAGCCTATGAGTTTGAGGGCCTCCTTGCCAGCAGCAATGCGCAGCAACTTGGTCTTGAGGGTTTGGTTGCTGCTGCTGAGGACTTTGTGCTTCTGCTGCAGCTGCTGCTGCGGCTTGTTCAAGTTGCTGATGATTGTTTTTAAAGTCAACAGAAACAGCAGTTTGCTGCTGCTGACCAACTCCGAAGAAGCACACAAGTCCCGCAGCAGCTGCGCGAAGGGCGTTGTTGCTGCAGGCAGCTCCCGCTGCTGCTGCTGCTGCTGCTGCTGCTGCTGGGCGGGGGGGGACTGC